GGTAGTGCTGAGGTCTGAGACGTGCCCTGGAACATTGCTGTATGTTCAGGGCCCTTGAGCTCGAATGCTAGCAGCGGAAAACGGAGAGCTGGCGCGACCTAGTGTTTGGTTCGCTTGCTTTCGCACGTTCTATGTGGTTCTGAGCAGTCTTCACGTGTTGCATGTCTTTGACTGGAGGCCCAGTCTTGGTTGGCTCCCTTATTGACCCGCAACGGAATCGAACTGTTCCGGCCGGACGCGAATGGTGTAGTGCCTTGAAAGGTGTGGCGGTGTTGTTGGATTCCGCACGGAAGGTTTGCCGTTCACACATCTCCCTGCATGTTTGTTTGAAGAGGAACCCCCCTTGTCGGAGAACAAAGCTTGTAACCTATGTGCTGGGAGTGGGAGGGGTCAAGGTAGCCCCCTGGCCCTTAAACCTGCGGAGAGGGAGGATTACCAAAAAAACGATCCTGGTACGGTAGCCTGATATGGGAGTAAGTAGAAAATGTGATGATTGAATGATGGCTGGTTGCTTAGCATTGAATTGCTCATTGCTGATCCTTTGTTTTTATTGTACTGTAGCTTTCCTTTGGACGTTCCCTGCGGGCCCAACCACTGCTTTGTGAGGGCCTGACATGTCCAAATATTGGGTTTATCAATGTGGTATGGTGTGCATTATGACGGTATGCTTCATTACGGGAATTTCCCCTGTCAGTCGCTCGGTAAGCTTATTGAGGAATCGGCCCTGGCAGCATATTCTGAAACTCGTCCCCATAACATATGGGGGGCGCCTGGAGCGCGGGGAAAGGGGTCGCTCCCCTTTCCTCTTGCCCTTGTGAAGGAAACAACGTGAGGGCCAGGGTGCGTGCACCCGCCTAGTTTGCGGCCTGCGTGTTTGCCCCAGCAGTGCTGGAGTCTTGTGTTCGCCGCTGCTCCTTTCAAGCGGCCCCAACGGTTTTTCGTGTCCTCCGGAACCTGAGCACGGCCCTCGTCAGGGGTGGCCCGGAAGGGGCATACTGACACCTTGCTCCTCGCCTCATTAAGCATAGCATGGCCTAACTAATCCACGTTCCTTTGAAGCTGATGCTCTCTTCGGGAGTGTAGCGGCAAGGCCAAGCAACGTGATCATGAACGGCGGCTTCCCCCGCAAAGGACTCAAAATTACAGGTCGAGGCAAAAACATGGCAAGCGGCCCGGTTACTGCTTCGGATCGTTGAACTAGATCTCAGAATGCATGGGGCCTCCCCCGCAGTGTGACGTAGTTCGGGCTTTGCCTCACGCGACGTTCTTCTCAAGGACGGAATGGCTTCGGCCCTCAATCTTTTCGTTTCAGCATGTCGGAAACGTTCCAACATGTCGCACAGGGAAGAGCACAGCTGCACGAACGCGCACTGGGATCTCACCCTACGAGGGGGGGGTTCCTTCGGGCGGGAAGCAAGCAAGCAAGAGAGAGCCAAGCCTGTGAGCGCGGCTGTACAAAGCAATTTCATCGGTGATGCACTCAGCTTATCTCAGCTTGTCAGGTTCTTCCAGCAGACAACGGGCTCGATCAGCGATTTCGACGAGTGGAAAGATGATCTTACGTGCAAGGAGGCATCGGACGAGCAAAGTGCCTGCGAATTTAGTTGGGCTTCTTGAATTCGCAGATGCTGTGCGTCAGGGAAGTTGTGAATGGAAAAAAGCCGCTGACGGTGCCAAAAAGATAAACAATCCGCTCAAGCAGTTTTTCGCTGTCAACGGCGACTTGGTGTGGAAACTTTTGAGCCAGTCGTCGTTGGGAGCATGGCTTGTGTAGCTTCTTCCGCTGATCGCAAGTCATCGAGAGCATCTAGGGAAGTGCATCAGTCGCCGAGCCTGGCTTTGAACAGGTGATGAAGCCGAGAAGAAGACGTACGTGCCCGATCGTACAGTAAGAGCTTTCTAGGGAGGGAAGTTTTTTTGAAGGGAACTTCGCGACTGTGGGATGTCCCTGTAGCTTTTCGGTAAGGCAAGCCAACCAGATCAATTGACGAGAGGGGAGAGACTCTCTCGCAATTAGTTTCGTGTTTTGAGATCCAAAGTGGGAGCGCTTCTGTGCAGGGTTTCTCGTTCCCTTGGATCCGGAGAACTTACTCACACATTGCAAGTTGGAGCGCAAAAGGAAAACCCGTCATATCAGATTGGAAATGGCCTACGCCACTTTCAGGTTTCCTGACGGGATACACGAGATAGCTTCCAGAAGCCTTAAGGGGGGCTCTGTGAGGATCGTCCAGCAGATCGCAGATTACGAGAATGAAGCCGAACAGTGGCAACAGCTGACGAGACTTGGCGTTGTTCCGAGTATTTAGATGAGTTGCTGCACTGACGCTCTGGAGAAGCTGCTGTATCTCGCGAGGACGCAGAATCTTTTCTTGGGGTGCTGCGCGACATACAAGCGACGCAGCTGCATTTTTCGGCACGTAACAGGATGGACTTGCGGACGCCATAACATGATCTCATGAACCGAACTGCAACGAGCTGTGGTCTGAGGTTCTGCCTGTGGATGTATTGCATTTCATATGCCATTCCAAAGAGTGGCTCTTCGGTTCTTGTTGCCTTGGCTACCGACAAGAGAAATGACTTCTTGTGTACAAGCAGTGAGCTCAGTCCAGCTACACTTCCGCCGCCAGCAAGTTATGAAGCACCATTTTTGCCTGGGACTTCGCGACCCCCACAGGTTTCGTGATTTTATCCACTTTCTTTGCTGCCACTTCGTCTGCATCTCCACTGGTCCACAGTTGATGTGGGGAGCGAGAGTCTGCGAGCACATGATCAGGGTGCGAATGCACAGAGCCTGTGTGCATCAAGGCTATCTTCCCGGAGCTCACTGGCAAGTTTATTTCAGATGAGAAGGTTGATCCACTGGTGGCTCGGAAGGACTAAGGCGTTGAAGCAAGAACCCGCGCTTGTCTTTGCGACTTCCTCGGCAGAATGCTCATGTAAAGCCAGGGTGCAAGACTTCGGTCCAAGCCCTTCTTGCTCACAAACACGAATGCCAAAGGAACAGATCATGACTCAACTCACATGCCGTGCAGCGTGTGACTTGCGTGGGTCGTTGTGCACATGCGCCACAACCGGAACATGCGTCCTACCCTTGTCTTCCCTTCGGATAGAGCGAAGTTTCAAGAGTATAGAGCGAGGCTGCGGATGCACAACGTAGCACAGTTCTCGGAGACACTGCACCAACAGGGCATGGTTGCAAACAAAGGTTCCATGCCGTCTAGCACTGGGCTGCCATGCTCGAATGCGAGCTAAACAGCATCGCCACTGGATGGTAGACGCAGGCAGCAGGTGGAGGCCAGGGCACGAGGGAGCGAAGGAAGAGTCTCACTGCAGGCCGCAGGCCATCCTGAACTGCTTTGCAACGCTTTGCGATGCTTTGCACTTGCCGCCCAAAGCGCTGTACACGAAGGCGCAACAAGCAAGGCAGTCTTGGACCTCCAACGCAGCGAAAGCGAGGGACTGCTAGAGAGAGCCGACACAAAGCGGAGAGAGGCTCGGGGAGTGTGGCGTGGAGCTTTGTTAAGGTGTCACTTCTGCTGTCCTTTTTCATCATGTGCGCCATAGGTCATACGTGTCATGCCCTGGACTGGTACTGGTAGCATCCATGCCCGCATGGATGGAGAGGTACACTTGGTCAGAGCTGATGTGGCTCAACAGCAGTTTGGATCTAGAGCATTCATTCGCCTGCATGTCAAACGTGCAGGATGGAACACATGACGCTGCTGAGTGAGCAGGCTCAGCATTGCATAGCATATGGCGAGCGCCAGCATGGACACATGATAATACATGTTCCAGCGCTACACCTACAGTGCAGGTTGCGAACGAGGAATTCTGCGAGGGCGTCCGGAAAGAAGTCTTCGATGTTGCAAGGCACTCAGGTTGCTCTCTCGCTACGCGCATCTGGCAAGCCTGTCAAAGGCCACTGGAAGCAAACCACTTTGCAAAATCCTTCCATATCATGAAACAATATGAAACATGTAGAACTTGAATGGCAAGCACCTTCAAGGAGAAGGGTGCAGGCTCCGATCATGCCCCCGCAGAGAGTCCACAGCCACAGCATGCAGGGCCTCGCAGATCGAGAGAAGCGAACAGATTCATAGCATGTCGTAGTTACCCGGCGAATCGGCAGACATGACATGCGAAAGCACACAACGGGAGAATCCTTCAGAGGCGTGCTGCGCAGGAACGAAGAAACATCATCTTGATTGGGCTGGCGCGCGAAAAAACCATCAACACGTACCTATGAGTTTGATTTCATTCTCAGCCTTCAATCTTCACTTGATGGTTCGAACATGAAAATGCAACAACTCAAAGTCAAAGTCGTGCGGCATTCAAGCGAGACTGAACTGAATATGTTGACCTCGAACTGTGCATGTTGACATGTACGTATACTCATGAATCATTCCCGCCGCGTTACAAGAAGCGCAGTAGTCGCTGCATGGTGCGTGTTGATGCAAGAAGCGAGGAAGAGCTAACGATGGTGCTAGGGACTGTCAAGACCGTGGGGGCGTAGGCGATTACCCGAACCAACGCCAACGCGCAAAAGTTTTGCCAGCAAGGGTTACACAGATGTTGCACCCCTTGCAAACCGTACATGGACGTTTGTGTCGCACTACAGAAGTATGGCGAAGTATAGTTGGATGGGCTGCAAGGTGCAATGGGTGTCGCCGTTGTGCAGAAGGTCATGCAACAAGTCTTGTTGGGTGCACGAAGCATCATGGTTTAAACCTCCTGCATTCTGACTTCAAAATTGTAATGCACGGGTTAGCACAGGATTATAGGGGCAGTCATGTCTAAGGTTTGTGGCCGAATTTCAGCGGGGGCTCGTTTACTGGGCATGGCTTGCTTGTTTATACTGGTATTTATGCGAGCTGACTGTTTCTATGCTCCCAGAGGTGAGGGTTGGGGGGCAGGGGCTCCATTTAGCTGGGTTTGTTTGTTTTTGCTGGCGTTCGTGCCAGCCTGGCTTTTTTCTGTGTTGTGGGGTGGGGGCCATGGACGCCATTCTAGCTGGGCCTGGCTTTGTTTTTGTGCTGCATCCCTTTGCTTTCAATGCTCCATGGTTTCGAAGCTTCATGATCCTATAGCGCCTTTCAAGCGGCGCTCCCCGGACGCCGCTACCTGCCACTCCTCAAGGAGACACCTGGTGACATGCCACCTGCGGCAGGAAGGCAGAGCACTTGGAACCCAAATTAGGGACTGGAGCATCCCAAAGCCGTGCCCTAGTGACCCTAGTGTCCTGAGTTCGCGGTGGGACCCTCATGCAACAACGCTGCAGAAAGTCTGTACTTTGCGTAAAGGACTTCCAAAGCATTGGGCTGATCCAGGCTGTGCAATAAAGAAGGCACCATGATCACAGGATCAGGCTGAATCTGCACGGATGATTTGCCAGGTTGGTTCTCATCCCTACAGAAGCGATTCACCTGGATATACTGATATACCTGGATCAGCAAGACTGGCGTAGGCTGCAGCCCTGCATTCCCGCCCCCGCTGTTGCCACGCATCGACGAGATGTTGAGACTGGACATTCGGATCCGCATGGGGTTGTCTGCTGAGGCACGTCTCTAGCGGAGTGGGGAGCTCTTATGAACTTCTCGTGTCTTTGGAGTTTTTGGTTGGTGCCGTGTGTTTGCCTCGGTTGTCTTGTAGTTTCAGTCCATCTAGCGCAGCGAGAGTTTCAAAAAGTGGAATGCGCAGTTTCCGACCCCCAACCGTTGTCATTTGTTGCAGTTCTCAGCGCTTCCGCAAGCTTTGAGACTTCGGCCTGCGAATTGAAACCAGAACACCAACCAACAAAATCGTTGCACCATGTTGCACCCCACAGCTCGAATTCGGAGACCTGCAGCATGGGACTTGACTGTGGGAAATGCAGGCCGTTGCGGCTTCCTGCGTCGTCAGCAATCAATTCTCGAATCATCTTTGGCCGACTGGCTCGGGTTCTAGGCTGGCCAAAGACCATTCGCTCACTTCCGACAGGGACCCGAGCTGCTCACTTTGAACTCCCCGACGACTTGAGTTCGTTCTTGAGTTCAGCGAGACTTTGGGGGCACACAAGTGGCTCCACTTCGACTTGTCTAGCATCCCGGTCTCAACCCACATGCGCCCGAGGTCAAAGGCTCACCCTGTGGAGTGGCTGGTGATGACATCAAGGTCTACATGTCGGGCATGGGCAACACCATCGAGGCGAGTTCTTTTTCAGAGTCTCACCCATAGAATGGCTGAGATCCGCTGCCTTGTCAGGTTACCCTCACAGTCAACGCAGAGCTTTTGGCTGAATGGCCATACTCGACCTGCTTGTCAGCCAGTTTTAGCATGAAGCCATCTAGAAGGCAAATCCACTGCGACAGCGCCTTTGCAAACCATTTCTTGCTCAGGGCAGTACGCAGTTTGCAGCCGTGGGCGACGTGGTGCAAAAGTTGAGGACGCGTCTTGTTTCCTGACTTGGTGAGCTGGATAGTAGCTGGCTTTAAGGCTCCACCGGTCCCTTAGTGCGGAATCCGAGAAACAGTCCGAATGGGGCAGCTAAACGCGAAGCGGTATGATTCTGCTCAAAACAAGACGGCAGATTGATTTGCGATCAACCCTTCTATTTGTCAACCTTCAGATGCTGCTGCTCAAACTCGACGAGTACACGTTCGAAGGGTGTTCGCCTGTGTTCGCTCTGCCGAGTGATGCCACGCCGAAACTCGATCCATTGTGGCCAGTGTTCCAGTGACCGCACTCCGAACGAAGCGTGGCAAAACTTTCCAAGAAGCTGCCTGCCCTGGAGTTTCCTGCTCAACTCCGCACATCGAAAACTTCCGTGTTACCAGAAAGAGTAGCTCTTGCACCCAAAAGTTCGAGTTTGGCCGTGTTTGTCGTGTTGCGTTACAGTTGCAAGTTGCGTGGTGCATATGTAAGCATGTGTAAGCATGTGTAGGCATGTGCAGGAGGTGAAGCGTAGACAGGGGAGCGGACAGAGGTTGCAACAAGGGCGAAGGTAGCATAAAGGAATGTGCAAGCTCGGCAATCGCCACTGCAAGATGCCATATTTGGAGAAGGAAAAATTCTGCTGAAAGACCCTACGATGATGATTGCATTTCTGCCTTGGGCTTGCTTGCAATTCACAGCCTTGAACTGGACTGCAGAACGCGATTGTTTTCCATAAGCCTGCGTGTGGACGCTTTTTAGGCTTGGTCTGCGGGTTGAGCATAAGTGCTTGGCAGATCCGGAAGAAAGGAGTGAGGCTTTCTTCGTCCTGCCCCGACAGGTGACATTACACAGTGGAGGTGTGGCGAAATCTTCTTTTTGCTTCCGACACGTGCCGTCTGCCTGAATCGCATAGTGGGTTAGGTAAGGCCTGGATATGGTCTTGTCCGCGAAGATTCTTAAACACAAAAGCCTCGCATCCACACTTCATGCCACCAAACCGGAGAGTCTAGATTCGCGCTGAAAAAGCGACGTGTTCGCACTTCACGGCACGAAACCGGACGGTCTTTCGCAAAAACCAACGTGTTCGCGTTTCGCGACACGGAACCGGAGGGTCTATAGGGTAGGGTTCACAGGGTGCTCAGATATCTTAAACTCGCCCCTTCCTTTGGCATCCCCATATCTTAAACATTTCCCCTCATTTGCAGATCCAGGTTGATCACATATCTTAAACAAGCCCCCTGCTGTGGCGATCCGGATTCATCACACCGTCCTTGGGACCAGGTTGATCACGTATCTTAAACAAGCCCCCTCCTGTGGCGATCCCGATTCATCACATGTCATTTGGCGATCTCGGTTGATCAGATATCTTAAACATCCCCCTCAATAGGCATTCATCGCATATCTTGAACTTAAACAGGCATCACATATCTCAAACACGCCCCGTCCGTTAGTGATGCCAATTCACCACACACATCTTAAACACACACCCCTCTTTTGGGGGTCCCGATTCATCACGTATTTTAGGCACTCCCCCCCACTTGGCGAGCCCGATGCATCGCACATCTGAAGTCTTAAGCACCCCCCCAAATGAGGCGGCCCAGGTGATTAAAAACCGTTCCCTGCTTTGGCGATCCCGATTCATCACGTTTCCTAAACAGGCCACCACTTGTCAGGCGCACAGATGGCTTAAACTCGCCCCGTCCTTTGGCGATCCGGATTCATAACGTATCTTAATGCGGCTCCTCATTAGGCGATCCCGCTGAATCACATTTCTGAAACCCACCCCCTCACTAGGCGATCCGGGTCGATCGCATCATGCGATAAACTCGCCCCTCCGTTGGCGAAGCCCATTCACCTCACATCTTAACTACAGTAGGTGTTGAACACGCCCCTTGTTTCCTGTTGTTTGGCGATCCCGACTCATCACAACACCTAAACAGGGAGTCGAAACAGTGGGGTAGTCGGGAATGAAGCATGTGTCACGCCGACCTGTACCCCATTGAATCTCATTGAACCTCGCCTTGATCACAAAGCTTACAGTAAACTAGTCCACGCCCCTTGATTTGGCGAGCCCGATGCATCATCACACATCTTAGGCACCCTCCCTCATGAAGCGCTCCCGGTTGATCACATCGCCCCATTATTTGGCGATGTAGGTTGATCACAGATCTT